ATGAATTTTTCAAATTATCGAAACAAAATTTGTGATAAATCTCACAACTTTCTCAAATTTTCTCAATTTTATGTAAGAGCTTAAGAGAAATCCAATTCTTTCCATAAATTTCTTTCTAGATACCTGATATAAACACAATCGTAAAACCAATTTGACTATCTTAATCGGTTACGAATTTTTACGCTTAATAAGTTGAGTTCATCTTCTGTGCATCATTTTTTTTGACAATTTGAATTTTAAAAATGATATGTTTCCCTTCAATTAGAATTACAAATGAATCGAATTATTCATAAACAAGCTCGGCTCAGCTCGTTAAGAGCTTGGCTCGACTCGGTTCGGTTCGTTAGTAAACAAGCCAAGCTCAATCTCGAATATTAGGCTCATTTAGTAAACGAGCCGAACTCGATCTCGCATAAACTCGACTCGTTTATCGTTATTAAATTATATAATAAATATATTATTTATATAATAAATAATATAAATAATAATTTTTATTTAAATAATATTTAAAAAATTTAATCGAGTCAAACTGAGCTGAGTTTGAGTCAAACTCAGCTCAATTCGGTTCAGTTTGTTTGTAACCCTACTACTACACAAATAAACATCAAAACATGAAAATTATAACCTCCGTTTGGAAAGTGGGTTGACTTTTTGGCTATTTTAGCCTGGGCTAAAAAGCTTGGTTTGGGAAGAGCTTTTTGACTTTTTTGACTTTTTTTGTGAGAGAATAGTGTAATGATTATGAGTTGGATGTGATGTTTTGTTTATTGTGGCTAAAATAGCTTATTTTGTCTTTTGTGGCTAAAATAGCCCCAAACCTCCTTGCCAAACGGAACTAATATTTGTATGATTTTTTTGAGTAAATCAGGTACAGCAGAATCAATCACTCTATAAAATTTTCCAAACTCAGTAACTTTTTGGCTATTTGGCTAAAAAGGTAGGTAAAAAAAACTTGTATGTTTGGGATGACTTTTTGGCTAATTACGAAAAGATGTGCAAAAAGTAGAGAGAAAAGAGAATCTTTGACTTTTTGGTATGGGTTGTTGGCTTTTTGACTAATTTAGTAACTTTTTGGCTAATTGGCTAAAATAGCCTCTTGCCAAACGAGGCCTAAATTCTTATAGGTTTTCTCTCTTAGGTGTCACCTCTCAAATCTCCCTTTCCACTTTTCATAATTTTTAATCATTTATCAATTATTTAAATCTCAAAAGTCAAAAGGATTATATATATTTAAATAAAATAATAAATATTAGATGTGAACAACAAAGAGGTAGAGATAAAAATATATAAAATAAAATAAAATAAAAAGATAACTATTCAAATTTCAACCACAAAATAATATAAAGAGTCAAATAAAAAATATTACGAGTCAATTAATTTAAAAAAATAAAAAATTTAACTATTTATATATGAACAATTAAAAAATATTTAAATAAAAAAATATTACGAGTCAAATAATTTTTAAAATAAAATGGTAATTATTTATATAAGAATAACCAAAAAAAAATAGAGATGAAAAAATATACAAAAATAAAAATATAACTATTTAGATTTGAACTGCAAAATGAAAATTCAAATAAAAGATAACAAAATATTTAAATAAAAAAAATTAAGATCGGGATATAAATATCCCAAAAAGATTATAATTTTTTTAATGATCTATATTTATCTTTTGTTAGTTTGTTATAGAATTTCCATATATTTCCGCTTAATTTTTTTAAAGTTTATCTTCAAGTTGAATTTAATATTTTATCTTTTAAAATCATCGATTAATTATCCATACAAATTTTAAATATGATAGAATTCCATATATATCTTTTGTTTAGGCATAATATGTTCAATATAAAAACAAGTTCCTGCAAAAGAAACCATGAACAGAAGTTTGGGGGAAAAACAACCAACATTGAGCCATTTCTGATCTCTTTTCGGTGCCTAAAAATCTTAAATATTTGCTTTACATTTGAAATGTGTACTTGCGTGAGTTTTTGCATTTGCGAGAAAGTGAGTTTATGTAAATGGATATTATTATTTTATTTTTAAATTTTCTTGTTACAATCTGTATTTTTCCTTATTTCTTTCTTTTTGTGTCATTTAATTGAGATTTTATTCCTTTTTTTATATTTATAAAAGCTCTACTATTATTAATTTGTAACTCTCTCGCATATTGATTATTTGTGTGTGTGCGCGCGCGCGCGCAAATGTTAGATTGAAAATGAAGAACACATCAAAATTTATTGGATATGGATTTATACTTTAAATGTATTCATCAGTTGATTTTTTATTATTGATTATCCTATTGAAATAACTCATGATTAAATTTATTTTTAAGAACTCATTTCCTATGAGAACTAAACCACAAATTTCGTCTTTTTAATTTTTTTTTTATTATTTAGATTCAGAGTTTGAGCAAATGGAAAATATTCATATTTAAAATGTTAATTTTTTTTGAATAATTTAAATATTTACATTCTTTATGTTTGTCAATTCAAGTTTAATGCATTTCCAACTCTTTTTTTTTCTTTAAATCATTTCAGACCTATTTGTGTTTAATGAATCAATATAACCAAAAAACAAATAGCATGTAAAAAAAAATTAACCACTATAGAATGGGAATTAAACTGATTTTATTTTTTTATTTTCAAAATTTCAAAACATCAACTTTCAAATTGAAAAAAACTAAAAAAAAAAAATTATGTGCCCAAAAAAAAAAAAAACTAATGTTGTTTTTTGAAAAAACTAAATTAATTTTTTGTGCAAAATTGAAATTTTTTTGTCTATAAAGTAGCATGATGATGGGACATTGATGTGCAAAATTGAAAAAATAAATAAATAAAATGATAATATTCTCAATTTTAAAACTGGAAGAAACTGATAATTTTGTCAGTTTTATTGGATAATTGAATCAAATCAATAAGTAGAGGGCAAAAACATTTAATCTTATGTTTTCTTTTTTTTCATTAGTTAGTAAAACAATTTTCTAAAATATTACTATACAAATTTGATAATGTTCTAAATTTTAAAAATTGATAAAAACTGATAATATTCTTAATTTTACTAAGGGGCGTTTTGAGAAGTTGATAAAAAATTATTTTTAGATTAATATTTATTTATAATGTCATATCATAATAAAATTATTAAAATACCTTATCCAACTTACGAAATTTTCGACTCGTGTGACTTATTTATCTGCTTGTTGAAATAGGGAGGGTAATTATGTAAATTCACACTTTACATTTTGCCAACTTGTCAAATGTGTTCCAGCTTTTGTAGTGCGTTTTTGGCTGCAAAGACGCAGCTTTTTTGTGAGTTGCCAAAAGACCACTAAGCCTCCGTTTGGGAAGTAGGTTGGCTTTTTGACATTTTTGACTATTTTAGCCTGGGCTTAAAAGCTTGGTTTGGGAAGGACTTTTTGGTTTTTTGACTTTTTAAAATTTTTTTGTGAGAGAAGAATGTAATGATTATGGGTTGGATGTGATGTTTTGTTTGTTATGGCTAAAATAGCCTATTTTGTTTTTTGTGGCTAAAATAGCCAAAAAAACCCAAACCATAGCTTCCCAAACGAAACCTAAGGGGTGTTTTGGGAAATTGATAAAAACTTGGTTTTTAGTTTTTTATTAAGTTTTTTGGTTTTTTAAGAAGTGATTTGGAAAGTTAGTAAAAAGTTGACTTTTTTTATTTTTGATTTAATATTTTTTAAAAATGTCGCATCAGTCTAAAATGACCAAAATATCCTTACTTTTTAATTAAAAACACTTTTTTAAATTAATTAATTATAATGTCCCAAAGGATAATTTGGTAAATTTTTAAGTGGCTTTGTTTTCTCTTCCCAAATGGGAATATCAGCATTTTGGGAAGGTGCTGAAAAAAGCTAGCTTTTTGTTCACTTGCCAAAACGACACTAAAATATGACCGGCACCGTTTGGTAAGAAGATTTTTAGGTTTTTTTTGATTATTTTAGTCATAAAAAATAAAATAGACTATTTTAGTCATAACAAACAAAATATCACATCTAACCCATAATCATTACACTATTCTCTTACAAAAAAAGTCAAAAAAGTCAAAAAGTCTTTTCCAAATTAAGCTTTTTATCCTAGATTAAAATAGCCAAAAAAGTCAAAAAATTAAAAAACCAACCCACTTCCCAAACGGAGGCTTATTGGTTCAAAAAAATTTAGGCTAGGTTTGGCATCCTCTAAAAAAGTCAAAAAGTCAAAAAATCATTATCCTATTTAAGTCACATCATCTTTCTACCACATCACTTCAAACTCAACTCATATGTTATAAAAAGTCAAAAAGTACACTTATTTAGAATATTTCAAACAACTCATTGAATAGGATGTAAGGCTATCATAATATTTATAAATATGACTTTTAAATAATTAATTACATCCATCTGTGAGCAAAATGCATTACTTAATTGGTGAACAGCGGTAAGATCTATGACAACAATAATACATGAACTATAATATTTATAGTTCCAAGCCTTGCTGCATAACAACAATAATACATGAACTGCAGATTTTATACTACCAAGTTACAAAAACCAGCCCAACACGGGAGCAACATTTACTCAACAAAAAGACCATCATAAAGTATTGCAGCAGCAGAAACTACCTAACCTATAATATTTATGCATCACATAATATATTACAAGTCATGTGGTAAACAAAAAGACCATCATACAGTAGATGTCACATTTAAATATGACCTTCCAATAGCAGAGAAACCCACCCCATCTTGTCATTCTCATCTAAACTGAAAAACAAGTCAACTTTGTCTTCATCCTTCACTATCATAGATGTTGCCATCAATCTTTGAGTATTACTCATTGGCAACTTCAGAAGTTTTGCATTAACCAACCTCCTCTGTTGGGATAGGTCATGTGAATATCCTATCCTATAAGCAACCTCCACCATCGTAGTATTAGTATTCTCAATGAATGATCCAAGATTTTTTGCCATCTCTGATAGTTCAGTGGGTATCCCCTCAGTAGGTCGAGCCTAGTTTTTCCTAGTTTTAGTAGCATTAACACGATTGGGAAGATTACCTGCAGTAGACATTGAGTAGTCCGTATCACCCATGTTCATACTAAACTGTTCAACATGAAACTGTTCTCCTTCTTCTGTAGTTGCATTGGCATCCTCTTTTTCCATGGCTGCAACTGCATCAGCAGGATCCTCAGCCAGTTCACCAGTCGCTCTATCCTTCCCAAATAGAATAAGCCAATCTTCATAGAATGGGAATGGCCTATTTCGCATCCCTTTTGCATCTGGCACCCTCTACACAAGTGATTATGTTATTATTAAAAAAGAACAAATTGATTTATAAGTACATAGACATACAAATAACAACATAAAAATGAGATTTACCCGGACATAGTTCTTCCATACGTCGTCACTATCAACAAGCACCATCTTTTGTTCATCATTCCAACCAAAACCACTCATGTTTAACATATCTTGCAAAGCATTATATTGTTTCCTCCAAAATTTAATCTTCGAGTCGATGTGGGGACTGGCTCGAAGATCTGTTCCAGGAAAGGCACTTAAGATCTTCTTCTCACATTCATTGTAGAAGCCTGCCCTAAACTGATTATTATCAAGCTTTCACCTGGGATTACTTGCTATTACATCCTTCATGGTTATAATGAGGAATACTTCCTCACGGTGATTCCAAAACCTTCGAGGTTTCGCCTTCTTACGAGAACTAGTGGTACCTGTGTCATCCATACCTATATATATGTATATCATAAGTTTAAATCATAACACACATGTCAATCATAAATAATAAATCAACTTACACAACATTTGTTACAAATACCACACAAAAACTAAACAAATAAGGTTCGAATTACATGGCATAATAAACTCTCACTATTTCATAAAAAAACATCATACAATACTAATTTATTGACCTCTGCTTGCTTGCCATTCATTAAACATTTGGGTTGCCAAGGCAGTTCTCCATTCACTCCATTGATCAGATGCTTCAACTACATCAATCATTTCATCTCCTAATTCAGTAGCTAGAGGAGGAGGATTCATTTCCTCGTTCTCATCATCATCAAGACCCATAGGCATTTCACGTTGTATGAGATTGTGGAGAAGGCAACATGCAGTGATAATACGAAATTGAGTCTTGATTGGAAAGTAAGAATAAGTCCTCAATATTGCCCACCTCATTTTAAGTAGTCCAAAACACCTGTCAATGACGTTACGAGCAGAAGAATGTCTCATGTTAAAAAACTCTTGTGGAGTTGTTGGGGCACCCCCTTCTCTCCATGTAGAAAGATGGTAACGTTGTCCTCTATATGGTGCAAGAAAACCCTCCCCATTTGTGTAACCCGCATCTACGAGATAGTAGTGGCCTGTAATTATGTAAGATGGTTTCACTATGTATATAACAAAAGAATTGTTTAATATAGATATAGTGTACCCATAATTAGAACAATATATAATTATCATACCAGTAGGGACTTTTAACCCATTGGGTCTACTAACAGCATCTCTAAGTATCCTAGAGTCAGAAGCAGATCCTTCCCATCCAGGCAAGACATATATGAATTGCATGTCTTGGGAGCACACACCCAATACATTTGTGGCAATTTCTCCCTTTCTTGTTCTATACCTTGGTTTGTCTATTGCAGGGGCAAGAACCTTAACATAGGTTCCATCTAAAGCACCAAGACAATTCTAAAAAAAAAAAATTATAAAATTAATATCGGTAATACAAAAATATAATATGCTAATTAAGCGAAATTGTAAAAATATTGTACCTGAAAACAACTCCACCTATCATCTGTACAATTAGCAGTCATCGGTTCAGGCTTCTTAAGGAGGAGACCATGGAGGCGCAACACAGCCTTCAGAACATTATTGAAGTGCTTACTAACTGTTTAACCACTCCGCATGAAATTAAATTTAATTTTGCGGTTCTTAGTGTGATGTGCAATCACATTCAAAAACATTGCTACTTGCTCCTCTAAAACGACATACTCCTTTCTCCTTTTCTTAGTGGCATAATTATTATCCATCTACAAAAAATGAATAAACAATAAGCAGCTAAAGTTAGCGCAAAAAGTATAACAAATAATAGATAATAGAAAGTGTTTAATATGATAAAACAGATTGTAACGGCCAAAAAGCCATAGTAGAGTGAGTTTGATAAGAAACTTAAAATATTTGTATATAATGTATGGAAATACGTGTAACATTCAATGTATAATCAATTTAAATATTATTAGCTAATGTCCTTAAGACACTCGTTAATCAAACCTATAAAAAAATATAGATATGATTTAGATAAACAGTTTTATAAATTTTGTCTATTCATGATTTTATGTTTAATTTTTTTACTTCTAACATTATTGTTAAGCAAAGAGATGTTGAAAGGGTAAAAAAAGGAATTGATGAGGGGGACCAAGTAATGAGTGATAATGAAAAAGTGAATAAAAAATAAAAAAGCAAATGTTGTAATAAGTCACTGCACATAGACTTTTAAAGATGACAACTTATGCACTTATTTGTAAGAAAATGGCAGCAAAGAAAGGCTTCAACCTGTCATACATTTTACGTAAAGGCTGATAGGATATTTGGTTTGTCATTGCTCACTGCCTCTTTGGAGTATTCAAAATGCTCTCGACATGTTTTCAAATTTATAGGTGTATTGTGTTCCCTTTTCTTTAAAAAAATTATGCTTTATCTAGACATCCATATTATGTTCATACTGTGGAGGAAGCAATGGCAACTGCTAGGTGGAAGAAATGGAGGGATGTGGATTTGTTGAAGAAGCAGATGGAGACTTATTGTGAAAATGGTTTGGAGCCTTGGACACCAGATAAGCTCCCCTATCCCTCAGGTATTTACACTATGTTGCTTTGAACTACAAAAAAATTAATGAACATAAGGACCAGTAAACTTAACTAGAAATTTACTGATAAAAATGATATAGTTTAGAATCAACTCTTATGTAGTGGAATTTGCATTTAGAATGAATTTGGACCAATTATTACTTTTTTTAAGTACCTTTTTAGGTAAAATTTTTTGGGTTCTTAGCATTGTTGCTCAAAAATATGTCATTCCATTACATCATTCACATCCCTCCATTTCTTCCACCTAGCAGTTGCCATTTCAAATTATCAAAATTTCCTTTTGCAATGATTGATTGCAGGAAAGTGAAATTTTCTTGGAAGAGAGTTTTATATCAGATCCTTCTGTCATATTTATCAAGACGTTTCTAAACAAACACAACTCTCATACTCTCTCACCTGAGCATCTAATTTGGCCCTCTTTGCCTTTGCTTTTACAAAATTGTTCGTAAAACTCAAAACCCAATCTGACATATACCCAAGCATGCAAGTATCTATTATACAGAGCATAGAAAAGCCACAGATGAATGCAAGTTTAGATCCAAGCAACGATGAACTAAATCGAACTAAATAAAAGAAATAAATTAATTAATTAATTAAACTGAGAACAAGATTGAAACACCAAACACCAACAAGATTAATTAATTAAACTGAGAACAGAAAATCTGAAGATTAATTAAACACCAACAAGATTAATAAATTAATTAGCTTTTCTCACCTGCAACACCAACAAGATTGAAAATCTGAAGAAGAAGAAGAGCTTTTGGAGAGAGCTTGCTGTACGAGATTGGGAATCTGAAGAAGAAGAAGAGCTTCTGTTGCCTCTCCCTTTTGCTGCTGCTACTCTGATGAGTTAGTGCTAGGGCAACATGGGTAAAGAAGTAATCACACTCCTTAATACCAACGGACTAGCTTTGAATACCAACATCAAGGGCAGACTGTGAATCCCCTCTGCAAGGCCTTTATGAAGCCGTTCGGCTTATCAATCCGTCCTTCATCTCTATAAACAAACAGGGTATTAAGTGGGACCCACAGTTAACCTAATCCCAATCCCCCTCTAATCCCCCAAAACAAACGGGGCCTTAGGGGTTATTTGGGGTTTACTTATTTAGTGCATTTTTTACTTTTACAAAAAATATGTGCAGAAAAATAAAAAAACAAGTAAATAAGTGTAATTATTTAGATTATTCTCAAACAACCCCTTAATTTCATAAAATAAAAATAAAAATAATAATTTTTATGAGGCAACTCACTACTAATCCAATTCTTTAATCTCTCAAAACAAAATATAGTTCTACTAGATTATAAGTACCTTCTAAGACCATCTCCAACATTTCACCAGATCTATCATCAAGTTCAAATCTAGTGAAAAAGTATCTATTTTTGTGCTCCAATGGTTTCACAAAACCTGTATCAAATTGAGAAAATATCAAATGTTTCACTAAATTTATGATCTATGCACTTTTCACGAGTTTACTGTACAAGATTATTGGTGATCTGACACACTGGACGTCCGACCGGTTGTCTCCCTAGTCATCCGGTTGCTTCAACAATTTCCACAAAAATAGGTAACACTGAGTGAATGTGTGGTTGGGTCGAACTGAGATGGTTGGTGTGGATCCACTACCGAAGTCAGATTTGAAGGAAAGATATAAAGATGAGGAAGAACAAGGGAAGACGAGTATGGGGAAAGAGGAAAAAGATAGATCCCACCTGGTGTATTGTTTTGTAATAGTGGTTTGTACATTGCATGTTTCCATTACCCAAGTCTTCTTGGAGACCTTTCATCACCATCGTCGCACCCCTTAAAAGCTCTCTACAATCAATCACCAAAGTGGGTTTCTTGTGATTCTTCTTGTTGTTGTTGTTGCTCTTGAGGGTGTTTGTGTTTTCATACCCTTGAACACGACCTCCAAGTGTTTGTTGAAATGGTTAAAAAACATAATCAATTAAGGATTAGAACAGAGAGAGAGAGCAAAGGGGTTTTGGTTGGGATTTGAATGCCGAAGATGTTTCTAACTCGCTCAACCAATACCCATTTTACCCTTACAAAAATCATGAAAAATTGAAAGTAGGTGATGCTTTTGAGTGGAAAACCAAGGGTTCATTAATACAAAAATAAAAAAGAAAATCCATAACCAAATCTCTCTCCCACTCAAGAAAATCTCTTTAGATTTTCAGAACCTAGCGAGAAATATATATATATATATAGAGAGAGAGAAAGAGAGAGAGAGAGTGTGTGTGTGGGATGTAGAAAGAGAAAGAGTTGGGGGTACGGGTTTGTTTAGGTTCAATCACAATGTCAATAAACTTTCAATTCAACAACTTCGACCAGAGGACCCTATACATGAAAATGTCCAAACGTGATAACCTCAATCATAAAACCCAAATTAGAACACCAATATTAATCCACACCAATAAATAAAAAGACAAAAAAAATAAAAATAAAATAGAAGAAGATTATTCCACGCCAATATTAATCTCAATATATGTTAGACCTCGACTTCTCTCTTTCTCTCTCATTTCATCTCCTTTTCTGTTCAAGATTTGCGTTGGGTTTTTTTTTTTTTTTTTTTTTTGATTTTTTTTTTTCTTTCCAGATTACCTTGCTGGTCAACCAGCCGAACTTCCAGCCTGTCATTCTCCCGGTCGATTGACATTTTGCTGATAGCCAAAAATACACTGCTGGAGAGCTAGATATCAGATAGAGCAATTCCTCAAATTTTAACTCAGATTTTGTGAAATATTTAATACACCATTTGAGATGCCCTAACAAGGGGACTTGCAATTAATGTGGAGGTGATATTCAAATTCAATTTTATAATATTATAGATTAAAGGGAAAATTATATTAAATCTTCTTAAACTATCGACTATTTACACTTTACCCTCCTGTTGTTTTAAACCCAACAATTACCCACTCAAACTATTTGAATTTGCACATTAAATCCTTCTTTTAGTCACTTGTTAGATATTTGGTGAAAATTTGTCAAGTACTGTGTACATGATGATTATATTTAATTTTATTACAAAATTACCCTATTTTATCTTTTGTAAAAAATTAATATAATCATTATGTGCACAACACTTAACAAATTTTCATCCAAATATCTAATAGATAACTAACAAAAGGACATAATGTTCAAAGTCAAATAGTTGTAGGGGGTAATTGTTGGGTTTAAAACATTAAGAGAAAAAGTGTAAATGATTGACAATTTGAGGGAGTTTAATATAATTTGCCCTAGATTAAATAACTATTTTGTCTCTCATTTTACAAAAAAAAGAAAAAAAAAAGTCACCTTTAATGAGAACTTTTGTGTTATTTCATACATTTATGGTTGGTTATAAGTTGTCACATCTCTATTTATTTTTTTCACATTTTTTTGTAAAATATCAAGTAAAATAACCAATTTACAAACCAACTCTTGATCTCAACTAAAACCATCATACTACTACATAAACAAACAAAATTTATATTATATCTCAAACTTAGACACTATTTGAGAATTAATTATTTTATATATTTTTTTTCCCAAAAAGGCGTATAGAAAGTAAAAAGAGAATGATATTATATCTTATAGCAAATTAATGTTCGTCAATCACATACAAAAAGTATATTTTTATCTTATTTGAGTCATATCACATTATAATTAAGGTACATCACCTTATTACTACATTATACTTTTATAAATAAATACAATAATATATTCCCCTACAAACAAACCCAAGTATCCAAAATAGACCTTAACACCACCAAATTAATAATCATCTTATTTATAACCCTAGCCGCACACTTCTTAATTAAAATCTTAAAATTAATTTTCTCATAATTAATAACAATAGATAATAATTTTTAAATTAGCATTAAGCACAAAATCTTAAATATTTAATATAAAAGTTTTAAAATTTTTATTTTTACAATTGATCTTATGAAAAATTAGAATTGAAAATATATGGTGTTATTTATAAGTAATATATTATAGACAATGCAAAACAGTTTTGTATGTCTTATTATAGAATATATAATAATATATAAATAATAGTTATATTACATTATCATCGACATATAGTATCACTACTAATAGTAAAATAACGAAGAAAGGTTAATCTCACTTGTCAAATATAATTAACAATTCAATAATTTTTTATTTTTTTAATGGGGTTAACTTTGTTTGCATGTAAGTAATGATTTGATATCACTATTAAACTAAATTTTGTTTAGAAATTTTTCATACATAATAATGTGGCTTGTTTTTGTCTTTTCACTTTCAATCAAAACAACTATTTTTTCATTTTCAATCAAAATAATCATAATTATTTTTATAATTTAAAAAACATCATTAAAAAATCATTCTAAATATTATTTTTATATAATTTATTTATTTATTAATTATTTTTCTTATATGTAAAAAAAAAAATTACAAAAAATGAGGGGGCACGGGCCTTATCCCTTTATACTTCCACCACGAGCAAGGATCTTCTCTCCTTGGTTCCATTATTGCAAAGGTAAGATTTATGAAAAATGCCTCATACACCCACTGGGGGTCGACCCCCAGTGAGGTGGCACTCCATTATTGGACAAAAAAAAAAAATTATTATTATTGTTATTTTTTTTAAAGGTTTAGCCAGTGAGGGCGTGACACCTCACTAGGGATGCGACCCCCACTGGGGGTATGTAGCAGTGCTGAAGATTTATTTCAAGAGAATTAAATGGCTCAGATCACCAAAAAAAAAAAAACGAAAAAAATGAATTATATTTTTTCAAAATTTTAGCTTATTTTAATAAAATGATTGGAATCGTTGAATTTTCTTAAAGCCAACCTTAATCGTGCAAAGAGGGAGTCAAATAAAATAAAGAAGGCAAAAAGAAGATGCTTGCTCCTCCACCACTCCCTTAAGTCGCATAAACAACGGAGTCATATGCCTGTGACTGCCGTAGTCACATAAACAATTGAGGTCAAGTTTGACAATTTTAAAATAATTTATTTTTTTATTTTTTTTTCATATCTTTCTATTTTTTTGTATATTTTTTTGTAAAAAGATAAAAAATACACTTATTTAGGTCATCTCAAACAATTCCTGAGTTGTATGCTGGTGCAACAACCCCCCCAAAATAATGAAAATATAAGATTTAAGTTTTATTTGTCATGTGCTATTTTGACTAATGAAAATACAAGATTTAAGTTTTATTTGTCATGTGCTATTTTGAGTATATTATTTTATTTGGGTTATAATCATTTTATTTGAGTTATATTATATTTTTATCATATTATTTCAAACTCAATTTATATTTCATATTTTTTCGTAAAAAATAAAATAAAAAGATTAATCTAGCATTTCTCAAACAATTTCTTATTTATATATAGGGCATATTTTATTAAATTATGTCAAACTATCGACCATTTACACTTTATCTCTTAATATTTTAAATCTAATAATTGTCCACCTCAAATTGTTTAAATTTGAACACTAAGTTATTTTGTTAGTCATTTGTTAGATATTTGGATGAAAAATTATCAAGTTAATGTGAATAACGCTTGATAATTTTTCATCTAAATATTTAACGGATAACTAACAGAAGAACTTAATGTTCAAATTCAAATTGTTTGAATGAATAATTGTTGAGTTTAAAAATTAGGATGGTAAAGTCTAAGTGATCAATAGTTTGAGGGTTTTAATATAATTTGCGTGCATATATATACACTAAAAAAAATTTAATACTTATATAATTAATTGCACAAATAATTTGTACATCATTTTGTAATTAATATTTCACTTTTTGTGCTCCTATATATATATAACCAATGCCAAAAAAACCGAGGAGGTAGATGAAGGAAGCGATGAGGGAGGCGATGGCAGCGAGTTCGGAGAGAGTGACGACGTGGAGAGGGGTGGAGGATCGGATCTGATAGCGCTAACGATGGAGGAGGTAGTAAGCCAGGTATAGAGGGAGAGGTAAGGCAGCTTTTGGGATGAGGAGGGGGATGAGAGAGAATGTGTAGAGCAGATGTGTTTAGCTAGACGTGGGAAAGAGAGCAAGAGTTGTTTGGGCGGGAGATCTGTTGATCTGAACCATTGATATTTTTTTAGGATTAATCTCAGTCATTAAATTAAAATATATCTCACACACATTTTATACATTTTTGAAAACCCTCCTCCCTTATTATATAGATATATCCCGGGGAAGATGGCGGGAAACGTAACGCGTCTCTCGCATTCTTCACTCTAGATACGGGCGCGCCACTTCCATCTCCTTTTCGAAAGGTACACCTAGCCTAGGGTTTCTCTGTTTCTTCTTCAATCTCCTAAAACCCCATCTCTCTAACCCTAGGGTTTTCAAATTCATACAACAACGACCACTTGAGTTCATCATACTACTAGGGTTTTATTTGTTTGGCTGAAAATCCATGGGCAACAAAGTCACCGACGAACTGGTTTCAACCGTTCGATCGATCGTTGGTTTCGACTACTCCGACATGGACATAATTCGAGCCCTTCACATGGCCAACAACGACGTCACGGCCGCGATTAACATCGTATTCGACACCCCGAGTTTCAGAACCAAAGACAAATCCCAAGTTTTGAGAAATCCCGAGGTTTCGAATCGCAATTCAAACTCAGAGACCCAATCAAAAGATACCAAGTCAAGGCCAAATGGCAATGAGACCAAGAATCGGTCTTTGGGTTCGGGTTCATCATCAAACCCTAGGACTAGGACTGTAAGTAATAATGATGTTGAAGCCATCAGGGATTTGAGCAAGTGCTCGAGTTCAATTGGGGGTGAGTGGTGGTTTGTGGGTTGTGTTGAGGTTTCTGGGCTTTCGACTTGTAAAGGTAGGAGGTTGAAGTGTGGTGATGCAGTGAATTTCACATTTCCGTTGAAGAATGCCAGTTCTACGCCCTCGCCGGGCAAGTTCGGTGGTGGCCGTGGGCGACAAGTGGCTGCCTTTTCTGAGATTGTGAGGTTCTCTACAAAAGAGTGTGGAGAGGTATGTATGTTATCTTTTTTGAAATTGTGATTTTTCTACAATGCGCACAAGTTGTGATATGGTGTCAATACTACTTTGTGTTGTAACCAAGTTAATTTTAGCCATAACCAAGATTATAATCAAACACGATTTGAAATATAAATAATGGGTGCCCACAACTACAATGGGTCATAATAATTATAAATCAATTAAATGATGGGAAAGACATACCTTATGCTACAAAAGAAAATGGTGAAACTTTATCATAACTAAAAAAAAAATAAAAAAATCATAACTAATCACAAAAAAGTCATAACCAAAATCTTAAAATAATGTCATAATTAAAGAAAAATTTGGTTATAACTGAAGAAAAAAATGGCGTAACTAAGGTTGGATATGGTATGGGGTGTATATAATGGAATTCTCCTTAAATCATAACCAAAGATAGCATATGGTACACCGAAAAAAGGGTGTCTTATGGAATTTCCCTAAATATATATATATTTCAAATCTGTTTGCAAATATCTCTTGGGAGTGAAAGAAAAGTGCCAGGCAAAATATGACTGGGTGATGCCATGTTCTGAAACCAATTATGTGTATATGTAATATATACCTACATACATACACATACATGTATATCCATATCTGTACACACTTTATAGTTATACGTACCTCCCTGTACACTTGCCTCTATGGGTGCCAATTTGAAGTGCATATGTTAGTGTCAGTGTGCTTGCTTTTATAAGAGTCCACAGTGCATTTCATTAGTATATATCAACATCTCTTTAGCGAAACTTTTACTGAACTCTAGAAACTTAGACATTGAGAAGGAAAACGATTTGAAACCTTTAGCATAAGAAATTTTATATGAAAAACTTCTTTTAGATAGCAACTTTTTATGTCAAAGGCTGAAGTGAATGAAGCAAAGATGTACTTCTAATAATGAAGAACATAAGAAGTTCTTTAACTCAAGAGTCATAAAGCACAAATTGCAACCATTTGGGGCTGGTGTGTGATATGATTGGTTTTATGGGCAGATTGGTCGAATCCCTAATGAGTGGTCACGATGTCTCTTGCCGCTGGTGAGGGACAAGAAGGTTCGGATTGAGGGTTGCTGTAAATCTGCTCCTGATACGCTGGGCATTATGGATACCATTGTATTGTCTGTTAGGTATGCTCAAGGTATATTGAACTTTTGCCTTTTTTAATATGAGGAAATATAAGAAAAATAGAAGTATATATAATATCCCTTTTTAATTAATGCATGGACTGGTTGATTGACATTAAATTTGTGTGCTATACAGTGTGCACATCAACAGTTCTATGTTTTGTAAAAACCACCACACCTCGCTCAAAGCCACTAGCAATTCCACGGATGAGTCAGTTGTCCATCCTTTGCCAACCTTGTTCCGATTGCTGGGACTGACCCCTTATAAGAAGGTAATGCCTTTTTTTTTTAAGTTGTAAAACTTTATTAGAGAGTTTTACATGTTTTGATTAGGTTATATTGTACTATTTTTTTTTGGGCAATATATGGTTGTTGGTATACCATCTGTAAGTTATTCTTTGAAAATCTACTGAATATTTTGTTTGTGTTTTCTTGGTTATAACTAGGCTGAATTTACTCCTGGTGATTTGTACACAAGGAAGCGACCTTTAAATTCAGAGGTACAGTGACCTAATTTATTGGTTGATTCATTTCTGTTAAGGATGAACTTTAGTATGTGATTTCAACTGAACAGGACAGCTCTGGTGTTCATTCTTCACTGCTTCATGGCAACAAGTTTAAGAATCCGACTTTGAATGGTTCTAAAGTTGAAAATGAGGAGTCCATTTCAGATGGTGATCTTGAGAATATTGTTGGTGTTGGTGTTAGTGATAGCTTTGAGTTAGAGGTATTTGTCATTTTCAGAGTATGTTTATGTGTTCATAGAACTCGCACATACAGAAGCAGGTAAAAATATTTTATGATGTTATGTGTTTAGGAAATGGAACCTCCTAGTACTCTTCAATGTGAACTTCGCTCCTACCAAAAGCAGGCTCTTCATTGGATGATTCATTTGGAGAAAGGACAAGGCATGGATGAGGCAGCTACAACACTGCACCCATGTTGGGAGGCGTATCGTCTTGCAGACAAGTATGTGGATGTTTATCATGTGGTATGCTCTTACTTTGAAACTTCATGTTTAAGGGGATGCTTGCCTTTGTAGGAGGGAGCTTGTTGTCTACTTGAATTCATTTTCTGGTGATGCTACAATGGAGTTTCCAAGCACCCTTCAAATGGCCAGAGGAGGAGTACAGTTCTGACTGACTTATTCTTTTTTCTAATTGCCTCAAAATTTTCTTCAAAGTAGTTTGGTGTTTTGACTTTAGCGTGCATTTAAGATTTTGGCAGATGCTATGGGACTTGGGAAGACCATTATGACCATAGCTCTCCTTCTTGCTCATTCAGAAAGAGGTGGATCTTCAAGTAGCCCTTCCACGAATGAGGCCTTTACTGAAAATAGTGACACCAGTGATATTTCAGATCAATCTCCAACTTTACCAAAGAAAGGATCAAAATTTGCTGGTTTTGACAAGCTTGTAAAGCGAAAGAACTTGCTTATTGGTGGTGGCAATTTGATTGTATGTCCTATGACACTTCTGGGCCAGTGGAAGGTATTTCTGCTCCACTTTAACGTTTCCCATTGTTTTCATCTCATTTGGGTCTGGATGTCTCTAATTTACACCTGCAGTTACCTATCTGAAGCTATTTGTTTTGTGAGTGCATTGACAGGCGGAGATTGAAACTCATGCACAACCTGGGTCTCTGTCTCTCTATGTTCATTATGGACAAAGCAGGCCAAAGGATGCAAAAATTCTAGCTCAGAGTGATGTTGTACTAACCACCTATGGAGTTTTATCTTCAGAATTTTCAACAGAGGTATCCTGAAGGGTTCTTGTTTGAATTTATGTCACAGACTCACATCTCTGAGCACATCTTGCTTAAGTAGCATGTACAGATAAAATCAATATAAGTTTTTCTTTCATTCTTTGGTTTTACTTTGTAGAATGCTGAAGAAAATGGGGGACTTTACTCAGTGAGATGGTTTAGGGTGGTGCTTGATGAGGCACATACCATAAAATCTTCTAAGAGTCAAATTTCTATGGCTGCAGCTGCACTTACTGCTGATCGTCGATGGTGTCTTACTGGTACTCCTATCCAGGTATATTAATATAATCAGATTGTGGTGTTGTACTGAGATTATTATTCAGTTCACCATTTTTTTTTTTTGAACAGTTTCTATTCTCTGTTTTGTGGATTACCTTAATCATATGGGCAGTGTACAATTTGGGCACGTTCATTATTTAGCAGTTTCATTTTTTTTCTTCTTGTGATTTAAACTTTGTTATGAACTAAAACAGAAAATCTTACGAGAATTTCTGTATTTACTAGTGTTTGGGGCTTATTGTCCGGTCTACATTAACTGGTATAGGAACATTATCTGCCTCATTAACATTTCTTTTGAGAAGTTTTTTCATCATGTTTAAATGCTACACAATCTTGTATCAAACATTCTGGATTGCAGTTTTCTGCTTAAGTACATTGTGATTGTGGTTTCAAATCCTAGTTGCACATATATATGTATATATATATATATATTTATTTCTTGACTTTAAGGAATTAAATATCGATAAAAAGGATATATGGCAACCCTAAAACTATGAATATTTTACGAAATATGATAGCTTTATGGAAAAATTTGCAGAAATTAATAAAAGTAATATGATGGATGGATAATGTTGGTACATAGATATGTTGAAGTTAGGAATATGTTGATGGATATATCACAAATACTGATTATGTTTTTTTACTTGCTTGCACCACAAGATTATCATTGGAAATTGCTGTTCATACAATTTTTTATTCAAAATTTGTCACTAGAATGATGTGGAAGTGGTATTTTTGTAATTAAATGGGCACTTTCTTTCAAAATGATGAGTCCCATTGTAGCCACATCATTATGTATACAAGTTCTGTGTACTTTTTTTTGTTTGTATACACATTATCATTTGATTGCTTTGTTTGACTATTTTCTTAAGAAATTGGCATTTTGTATTCTCTGTTGGGTTTTGTGGATGACATATACATATGGTTTACTGATCAATAAATAGTGTTTACCCAGAAATCAGTGAGGTGGTTGGGACACAATCATTATATCAATTGTTTGATTTTGCCTGGGCATATGGTTTGACAGTTGTCTGATTTCTTGCCCTATTACCTAGTGTTTCTATCCTCTCATATTGTTTTAGTAAATTAAAATTCTGAAATATGAATTGAAAGAGATTTTTAACTTTCTCAAGTCTGATGAATTGTCAGAGTTTTAGTTACGTTTCCTGACATTTTTCTTTACTTTGCATAGAACAATCTGGAGGACATTTACAGCCTCCTTCGCTTTTTAAGAGTTGAACCATGGGGAAACTGGGCATGGTAAGTTTGCATTGCTTATTTGTTCTGAATGATTAAACATTATTTGAGTTGCTTAATTCACATGTACTTTATTTGTACATATTGGAATAAAGACAGATTTGCTTGACACATTGAATTTTCTTGAAATTAGTGGACAGTAACATTGATAATGATTTTGTCCTCCGTTTATGTGGATCAGAAGTTTTTTTGTTGGGTTAAATAATTTGTATGATTCAAATTGTCTGCTGTTTGATATCTTGATCACATTACCTGTCTACTCTAAAGTTTTATTTGTTCTTCTCCAATCATTTAAACATATACAGTACATTCTCTCAAAGTTCATGATGTTGGGAGAATAAAAAATTATATGTTTTCTTCATTTTATTATTTTTTATTTTGTGACTTTTTTTGTAAGTACCATGAGTAAGAACCATTATATTCTGGTTCCAAGAGTGGAGAAAGGAGAAGCTTATGGTAGCTAGATTGCAAATGTAAAGCTTATAATGGTTGGGATTAGCACTCCTTGATGGAGTCAATTTTCCATTATGTCATGGATAAGATAATGGTTTACTTGGCCAAAGTGGGTTCCTCAATATATTTATCAAAAAAGAAAAAAAAAGAAAAATTGGGTTCCTCAATATGACAACTTTGAAAATGGAGTAATAAGAGAATAGGATCCGTAGTTGGGTATAGAATAAGGTCTTGATTGTTGTTCTTCGTTGTTTTATATGCCATTGCCAACCATTAGTAATGGGGATTTTCTAGGTAAGTACTATGCAATTTCTGGAAATTGTTTTGAAATATTAGTTTCTTGAGTTGGAAGCCTCATTTAGGGTAAGCCAGTTTCCCTGGGTTTTTCCTTTGCGTTGCTGAGTGTTTGTTATCATTTGTGGGATGGTATCAGTATCATTAAGCTACCTTTCTATTTAATCCAGGTGGAATAAGCTAATCCAAAAGCCTTTTGAGGAGGGTGATGAGAGAGGATTAAAGTTGGTTCAATCAATCTTGAGGCCAATTATGTTAAGAAGAACAAAGTTTAGCACAGACCGAGAAGGCAGGTGAGCACATGGCTAAGAATGTAATCTCATCTTATCCCTTTTGCCTTTCTTTCCATATAGGCTCTTAATTTTTTATTTTTTTTGGTTTGCAGGCCAATTTTAATTCTCCCACCAGCAGATGTGCAGGTGATTTATTGTGAACTGACAGAAGCTGAAAAAGATTTCTATGAAGCTCTATTTAGAAGATCCAAGGTTTATAATCTCGATTGATTTTGCTTATTGTGTTATCTTATAATGCATTTTGTATGTCAAATGTTAACTTGAATCTCTACAGGTGAAATTTGATCAATTTGTTGAGCAAGGACGGGTTCTCCATAATTATGCTTCTATTTTGGAATTACTGTTACGTCTTCGACAGTGTTGTGATCATCCATTTCTTGTGATGAGGTCTGTGTCATACTTGGGCATGCTTTCTTTTTTGTTTGTATTTTTTTATAAAATTTTTACAGCATGTCTCTTGTAACTTGATGGCGTTTCACATTGCATATATTATATAACACATATTTGAAAATGAGATTTCTCTGTTTCTGTTTCTTTGGTAAAAATCAATCTGAGTGGATTTGTCATTCATCAATTGGATACAGTATTTTACTTATATAAAATAAATTCATTGGGTATGGTATTTATCTATATTTACAATTTTCTGGGGATGTGGTGCTTCCTTCCATATCTGTTGATTGTTTCAAATGTACACAGTTCAATTATGTAGTTAAATTATCAACAAAAATGAAGAAGGGAAAAAAAAAAAAATATAGTCATTTACTTGTTTATTCTGATGATAAATAAGAAACTCTAGGTTATTATCATATAGTTTCTTTCCTTCATCTGTTCATGTAAGAATTTTACTGTAAGATTGGTTGGTAATGGGGTGATTTGATGTTTCCAGTCGAGGTGATACTCAAGAATTCTCTGATCTGAATAAGCTTGCCAAGCGTTTCCTTAAGGGTGGTCAGGAAGTTGTGGAAGGGGAGGCCAACGTTGTGCCTTCACGGGCTTATATTCAGGAGGTAGTAGAAGAGTTGCGGAAGGGGGAACAGGGAGAGTGCCCAATATGCCTTGAAGCTTTTGAAGATGCAATATTGACACCTTGTGCTCATCGCTTGTGCCGAGAATGTCTATTGGCTAGTTGGCGGACTCCTACATCTGGTCTTTGTCCTGTTTGTAGGTACTTCCAGATTGTTTATGTTTATTTTCTTTCTCCCCTAGCATTTCCTTGTATTTTCCCCAAGCAAGCTCCTCCTCCCTTTCCATCCCCCGTCAGTAATTTTTTAATCATGAAATGTTACTAATCTTACAGTTATGATTACAATGTTTTCTAATTTACAGGAAGAGTGTCAGCAGACAGGATCTTATTACGGTGCCAACCGATAGTCGATTTCAGATAGATGTTGAGAAAAATTGGGTGGAATCATCCAAAGTTGCTGCTCTGTTGCAGGAGCTAGAAAATCTTCGCTCATCAGGCTCTAAAAGCATCGTTTTTAGCCAATGGACAGCTTTTTTAGACCTTTTGCAGATCCCTCTTTCGCGGTAGCAAATTTTTACACCTTTAGTCCTTTATCTATTAAAAAAAAAAGGGGAAAACAACATTTTTTTTGCTGCTTTGTTTAAATTGATTTTAAAATGCTTCATTAGCTTCTTGTTTTTGTTCAAAAAAATTCAAGTATGTCATTGGATTGTCAACTTTTATATCATGCTATAGTGTCTTAGGAAATGGTGAGCTGTGGGTTTGATATATCTAATGTCCACGTATATTTTCAGGAGTAAGATTCCATTTGTTCGTCTAGATGGTACTCTGAATCTACAACAACGTGAAAAAGTGATAAAGCAATTTTCAGAAGAAAGTGATATGCTGGTTTGTCACGGCAACTTTGAACTGAGAGAAGGGTTTTTTCGGGAGGGGGGTTGGGCTTATAATCTAGACAACAATATTAGGTCAATTATTCTGACTTGGTTGTTATACAGGTGCTACTAATGTCATTGAAGGCTGGTGGAGTTGGAATAAACCTAACATCGGCATCCAATGCCTTCGTCTTGGTATGAGCCAATTATTTCAACCTTTTTTCTTGTGCATTATGATATTTGTGCTAGCTTCAGATCTGACAATGGAAGAGTTGCTTTAGGTTTTATATTCCACTCCACATTAAAGGCGCATTAACTGGTCTACAATTCACGTTTATACCATCTCAAACGGTTTCTACTCATTTTATCTCCAATTGGTGTCACTTCTAACTTCTTCCTAATGGATTAATTTTTTATTTCTATTTTTCTTGCAACACCACTCATCCATCTCAAAATTCTCATTTCAACTACACTTACTTTCCTACATGTTTTATTAACTGTAACATTCGGTACCATACCATACATCGAAACAAGTCTAGTCTAATGGTTCATATAATTTTTTCTTTTCCTACTTAATTAGGAATTCTACTATCACACAATACTCTTGATGCACTCCATTCCATTTATCCCACTGCAAGCGTTTGGTTTCATCTCCATTTTTCCTTGTTAATATAGTATTATTCATACAAGCCAATCGTTAATGGCAATAAGCCAATGTTCAACTTCTCTGTAGGATCCGTGGTGGAATCCAGCTGTCGAGGAACAAGCTGTCATGCGCATTCATCGCATTGGGCAAACTAAAAGTGTAATGATCAAACGGTTTATTGTGAAGGTATATTTTCTTTTTTGACCAAGCCCATTTAAATGAAATCTTTATTTTGTTCCTTCATTTGTGTAATGACATTGGAAATAGAAGTTTGGAGCCAGTCTTTAGTGATTGAGCTGAATGGTCGGAACCTCTGTAGAGGATACAAGTCTAGTTTAGCTTTGGACTTACTGGGTTTGTTTGGGACTCATTAGGGTCCGTTTTGATGGATGTGCATTTGAAATGCATGGATTTGACGTTCATCATTCAAGGAGAATAACTTAAGTTTAGATTTGATAGTTTACATATGAATTTCAAGATTAAATTAATTAGTTTTATCATGATTCATGCTAAGGATTATCTTCTAGCTACATAGATCCTACTAAAATACATCTCTTGTTTCCCAACTTATCTTATTCTCCACCTATAATAGCTAACTCTCCAATTTTTTTAACCTCACCAAAATGATCTTGGATCGCAGGGCACGGTTGAGGAAAGAATGGAAGCAGTGCAAGCCCGGAAGCAGCGGTTGATCTCTGGTGCTTTAACTGACCAAGAAGTTCGAACTGCACGTATTGAGGAACTGAAGATGCTTTTCACTTAGACCAGGGAACCGAAACAAGACTTATTTTCAGAACATCAACTTATGCGCTTGAGGTTCAGGGTTTTGCTCATAATACTTTATGAAAAATTGGGATATAGAATACCACAAACATTGGTAACCCTCGTTCTGGCACAAAATCATTGGATTGAGTGGACTGGAAAGCCTAATCTTGTTCAAGTCGGTACATTCACCTATTGGCAGAAACAAAAACAGGCATGTGGATTGAATTTGAATGGAAGCTATTAGTCGATATGAGGCTTGCTTTGGCTGATACCTTGCCAGTTCTAATTTAATTGACAGAATCGACACGGAATGGTCATCCTTGTACATTCATGTTAAGGAAGGTACGATGGAGGCCGGTGTGCGAACAAGAAGTGTGGATCATGAAGATATCTTTTAGCCTTCATGATTTGAACCAATAATACATCCAAATGTATTTTTGCATATTGTATGTAATCTTTATGTAAAGTTGATCATGTTAGCATCTGTTTTGTAAAACAGATATTGATTGAACATGTCACAATTTTAATATTGGAACTTCAGTTTGTCATGGTTCGGGAAGGACAGTGCGACACCTAAGAATTCCAGTTTCCACAAATTCCTATTGAGTGATGGGCGGTTGGTTACTTGTAATTACACTTTTTTTTTTTAAAGGTCAAACAGTCAATTAAATTGGTTTATTCCCAAATGGGGCCTAAGTTCAAAGGAAGTGAAAGGGATATTTTTTGGTTTTTTTTCCTTAATAATTAAAGCAAATTTCATGTTCTTACAAATATTTTTCAAACTCCGTTTAATTTTTGATCATGCCCTTCTCTCTTATATACAATTTATTTTTTCCAATTATTTTCATACTTCCGGTTTTCCCATTTTTTTTTTATTATTTAAAGATTAATCAATTACACCAAAATCTCTTCAATTAGTAATAAATATGATGATTAAGGTAAAATGATATTCAATAGTTGAGGGAATCTTGACGTAATTAATTCTATAAAAAAAACAAGATACAAACTTGAGTTACGTTTTGGTTGTGGTTGTAAAAATAAAATAGTTTCGTCGTTACAAAAATAAAATAAATAAATAGTTCTGTTATTACAAATTAATTTTTATTTTTTGGTTTGTGAAGTTATAACCAAAACCATTAGACCCCCCTTACTTTTGCCAATGAAAATAATACTACTAATTATGTCTAGAAAGGTTATTTGACAAAAATAAAATAAATAAATAGTTATATTATTGCATGAGGGCGTTCAGGCGATAAATTTAATTTTGAATTTTTCTTATCCAAAAGTTCAAGCGCTAATTTATTATGTCCATAAGTACAAGGCACTGCGAAATGACCAAAATATCCCCTACATATAAAACATACAAGCACTTGTACTTATCTATTCAAAACCAATTTCTCAAAACCCTAGGTCTATTTGGTTTAGTTTTAAAATTATAATTTGAGTGTGAAATTATATTTTTAGTTTTAAGTTTTTGAATCATGATTTGAAGAGATAAAATTTGTTTGATTATGAGTTTTGAAAATAATTTTGGGATGATTTGTAATGTTTTTAAATTTTTTTTGATTGATTGATGTATGAAATGTGAGAGAATGTGAGAGGAGAGAGAAAAAGTGATTGATTGATTGATTAATAATAATAAAAAAAAAAGAGAAGCGTAGAGTTTTGAAAATAATTTTGAGTTGTATTTTAAAAATATGTTTAATTAACATATTGCATTCAAATCATGATTTAAAAACAGAATTGAGTTTTTTATTTTATTTTATATTTTAGATGCTTTGGAAAGAAAATACAAAGAGTTCAAAACAACAAAGAGTTCAAGAGAAGTCTAGACCTCTCGTACATAATACCAATCATATCAGCCACAAGAAAAGGCCCAAGTGTTTGTGGAGGATCTTCATACACCTCCAAGTCCTCAGCTTGATCAGCTTTTAAACGGGCAAGCTCATCAGCACACTTGTTCCCTTCACGATAGATATGCGCAATGGTGCACTCAGTGCGTTGATGTAGTGCCTTGATATCGAAAATGAAAGCTCTGAATAGGTAGCTCTGAAGTTGCTCATCTGGGGTGGAAATCTGATTCACAACCATTTTGCAATCCGTTTCTATTTGGATATCTCTCCAACCTTTCTCCAAAATGATAGTGAGGCCTCAATAGATTGCCTATAATTCTGCTTCTAGACTGGTAGCAGTTTTCAGCTTTCCAGTGTAGCCTAGAACCCATTGTCCTCTTTCATCTCTAAACAAACCACCAAAGCCTGCTTTACCTGGTTCGTCTTTAGCATAACCATCCGTATTGAGTTTGAATTTACCTGCACAAGGACGCAACTAGGCTATTAAATTAAGAACATATTGATCTTTGGTAAGAGGAGACTTGAAAGCTTCATGAATATTAGAGGCATGTTGGTATGCTTGAAAAATGCTATGGTTAATATTCACAACCAAGTTTTCAAAAACCTTTTTATTTCTATCTTTCTAGATTTTCCACAAAAGAACAGCAAATCAGATCTTCCAAGGGATGCCTCTATATTCTTGTTTGTTATCCTTAAGATTGGATGTAATCCAAATCTCAAGGGTAAGAGATTCAGCCTCCCTTTGCCATTTATCATTCCTAACATTATTCCAAATGTTCTTAGCATAACTACAGTCCCAAAAAAGATGTAGAAGATCCTTGCAGTGCATATTGCATCGGGGATAGATGTCATTTTCCGTGAGTTTTCTAACAGCTCTCATTTGATTTGTAAGAAATTTATTTTGCATAATGAGCCAGAAAAAGCCTTTGAGCTTCTGAGGCAGCTTGAGTTTCCAAATCCATTTCCAACTTACCTCTTGATTCCCAACATTAGTGATGAAATCATAAGCTGATTTTGAAGTAAAAATACCATTAGATGTGCCTATCCAATAGGGTTTATCAGGTAGAGTGGCAAGCCTAGGTAGGTGCACACATTGATGTTGGTAATATCCTGAGGGGTTAAAAATCTTCAATGCTGTGAAGGTTCCAACTCATGGTGTTATTCAAAATGGAATTAATAGTTGTGTCATCACAGTGGTTTCCAGTGGTTGGCCGCCACACCACCAATCCTTCCAAAGTGATACAGTGGCTCCATCACCAATGACCCACTTTGTATCTTTCCTTAATACATCTTTAGAATTAACAATGCTTTTCCAAATATGTGATCCATTACGCTTAGTTGGCCAAGTGAACAAACTGTGATTATGAAGGAATTTATTCTTTAGCATTTGAGACCAAAAAGTTTCATTCCCATACAGAAGGTTCCACCCACGTTTGGAGAAAAGAGCAAGATTTTGGTGCTTAGCCTTTCTGATGCCCAAGTGCCCTTTTTCTTTAGATTTGCAAACTTGATCCCAATTAACAAAATGAACTTTCTTGGTATTACCTTGATCACCCCAAAGAAAATTCCTATTGAGTTTATCTATATCAGCTCAAATGTTCTTGGGAAGTTTGCCTGTGGACATCACATAAGAAGGCATGGTTGAAGTTACTGACTGAATAAAGGTGGCTTGGCCCGCCATAGATAACACGCTAGTTTTCCATCCCGACAATTTCTTATGCATTTTCTCAATGATAAATTGAGAGTAATTTCTGCTGGCTCTACCGTGAAGGATTGGTGTACCGAGATAGTGGCCACGATTTTGGGTAAGGGGAAAACCACTCATATTACTGAGCTTTTTAGCTTTGATTCTAGGCACATTTTGAGATACATAAATTTTTGACTTGTGGGGGTTGATTCTCTGGTTAGAGATTTCACAGAATTCATGTAGAACTTCCAAAATCACCTCGCAATTTGTTGTATCTGCTTTGGCAAAGAGTAAAAGGTCATCAGCGAAAAATAAATGTGAAATGGGAAGACAATTCTGTGAAACTTTGATACCTTTCCACTCACTACTATTAACCTTGCTATTTATCATGCTAGAAAGCCTTTCTATCCAGAGAATAAAAATATATGGATATAGTGGGTCTCCTTGTCTAAGGCCTCTTTCTCTAGAAAATTCAGGAAGTGCTTGTCTATTTCACAATATAGCTGTACTGACAGAAGTGATTCAGTTCATAATCAGATCAATCCAATTGCTATTAAGGTTAAGATCACAAAGGGTTTGATAAATAAAAGTCCAAGAGATTCTGTCATAAGCTTTCTCCAGATCTATTTTGATGACTATACCACCAACTTTCCATTTCTTTGACTAGAGAGAATGGATAATCTCTTGAGTGATAATAATGTTGTCATTGGTTGATCTTCCTGGAACAAAACTACTTTGGTTAGGGCTGATGAGATTATCAAGAAGAGGTCTGATCTTGTTGACCAAAATTATAGTGACAATTTTGTAGCTCACATTGCACAAACTTATAGGTCTAAACTTCTTAATTCTATTAGGATTATCCACCTTGGGACTAAGATAGATAAGGGTTTTATTAACTCCCTTAGGAACTTTGTTGGTAGCAAAATAATTCTTCACAAATTGGCAAACATAAGTTCCAACAATTTCCCAAAATTTCTGGTAGAAGATAGCTTAGATACCATCAAGACCAGGAGCTTTATAGGCCATCCACCTTGGGAACAGAGTTGAGCTTTGAAAAATAAACTAAATGCTACCCTTGTCTCTCTCTCTCTCTCTCTCTCTCTTTCTTTCTCTTTCTCTCTCCTTTGTCACCACATATACCGTTGTTTCCATCTCTGCCGCTGCGGCAGCAGTAGCGGCAATGACGAGGAGCACCACTGTGACATTAGTCATCCACCTCTCTTCTTCATCAATGACTTCAATAGTCTAAATGTTGGAGGTTGTGACGACCCCGACCTCCGGACTAGTATATTATATTATTTTAATAAGTTTAATTGCATGATTGCGTGTTTAATTGTGTGATTAATTTGTGATTATCTGTTGTTACATAGATTATCTGTTCAAATTGACAACTTAGAGTTAGAAATTGAAAGCTTAGACAGCCTCAGAAACTGAAATTGACCAGCCCAATAGGTTAATTAGAATATTTAGAATTTTATGGTAACTTTAATTAAAAATTTATTTGGATCAAAATAATTAGAATAAATTGATTAAATTAATTAGGATTAAGCCTAGTTGATTAACCTTAATCATATGTGATTAGGCTAACTTAATCACACCATATAAATAGCTTTAAATAGCTTATGAGCTCATTTTATACACATACATAGCTGAGAATTAAGAGAGAGGAGAGGAGAGTTCAACATTTAGAGAGAGAAGGAGGAGATTTGTAGAGGATTGGTGGAAGATTCAAAGATTGGAGCCATAATACACTTGAATTCACACATTAGGTATGTAATTCATTATAAATTCTTGGAATCAAGTCATGTAGAAGTTGTATTCACCAAGGTTTTGAGTTCATTTGCATGGAATTGTTAAATAGAAGCTTCAATCACCTTGAATTTGGAAGTTAAGAGTTAAACATGTACATGCATGCATAAATTGAGTTAAACTTCATGAAATTCATTCATGCATGGCACAATTATACTTCAATTTGGAGAATCCTTCATGTTTTCATGCTCCTCATGTCACTTGATTATGTTTTGAATATGCTTTGAAGAAATATACGCTCAAATTGAATTAAACTTATTTTATACCTTGAAATTGAAGTTTTTGGTTAAGAATTTGCCAAGGTTTTGAATAAATGGTTTCAAATTGGAAGTATTTTCATGCTATACAAAAACATAAGATTTGAAGCTTTGAATACCATGTTTGAACTTCAAACACAGTTCTGGAAATTCCAGAATTTGTGATGTCCGCTCGAGCGAGGGAAGCCTCGCTCCAGCGTGAAAATCGAGCTCCCAGAAGTTTTTTGAAATTTTACAGGTCACTCAAGCGACCAAAGTGGCACTCGAGCGAGGACCCTTTTTCTCAGTTTTTCGCTCGTGTGACCATCAAGCGGGAATTTCATGTAACCAGTACTTTTACAGACCGCTCGAGCAACAGAAATTACGCTCGAGCGACTAACTTTGTTTTTGAACCCCCGCTCGAGAGTAGGAAGTTGCGCTCAAGTGGAGACCCTGTTTTCAGCAAAATTTTACCAACTCTCTTAAGTGCATATTTGCATCCTCATGTCACTTCGAGCATTCTTAGGCACCATTTGGACTCCTATAATTATATAATAAGTTAGAAACACATAAAGAGAATTGAATTAAAAATGAAATGGAGTTTCATTTGTACTTTGTTATGTGTTTCGTTTAGGTGGACGTCTGAGGCTTAGTGTCACCACAAACACTGTGAGTAATAACCTTATAAAGATATGTTTAAATTATCTTTACTTTCGAAAGTGTTATTACTATCAAAATGGATATGTGATTGTTTGCATGAATTCTTAAATGATTTGATAATTAATAGCATGGTTTATTGAAATGTTATGTCCTTTAATGAATGAAGTTCTGTTTTGAAATGGTATTGTGACATCCATTGAATCTGGGCCCTTGCCTGGGGGTAACAATACCATGGCTTTTGGATTGATTGACTTATGGTCCGTTATTACTGGAATGTCATCACTTCATGGATGTACCACATAAAACGATATTGAAGGAAGTTAATGAATTAATGAAAATTTGGCCTGACAATGTTATTGAGCTTCATTTATTTAACCTCTCTATTCTGTTATTACTCATTGGGCTCTAGCTCCCTATTTATTTATTTATATATGTAAATGTAGATGGGCAAGCTGAACATCAGAGTTAGATAGCCTCGAGTCTACCCTGGGTTAACCTTTTGTAGAGCTTCCAAGTGAAGTGATCAGGCTCAGGAGGAGCCAAGCTTGTTGAACCCCTTTGTGTATTTCCATGCTCTTTTTGTATATGTGTATAATTGGGGGTTGTATACTTATAAGACATGAATTTGTACTTATGTTGGATGTATCTTTGAAACAAAACCTTGCTTAACATATTTGTTCTCCTCATATATGCACAACTCAATGGATAAATTCTATGTCATTTTAGACTTCTGCTATGCCCCGTACTTTATAATTAAAGGTTCTTTTGTATGGAGGCTGTAGGTAATCTATGACTACTGGCCGGTCATGACGCTAAACTTATAGGGGCGGGTTTAGGGTTCTGACAAAGTGGTATTAGAGCACGAGTTACATCTCACTTACTTGTCCATTGAGCTATAGAGGGTCTAGAAGAGACTTCAAGATTACATTCATGTGCATTTGATATGTTGAATGAGATAACCTTCTGATTATATATGTAATTGCGTGCATGACTGTATATATATTATGTTTGTTATAATACAAAGTTTCATATATAAAATGGTGAGAACCATAGGTGATGAAATAGAGGAGGCCACCTCTTCAAGACTGGATAGAATGGAACGAATGATACAAAACCTGGCTGAAGCCATAAGACAACAACAACAATGGTAACAACAATAACAACCACCTCCCCCACCTCCAATACCTGTACCACCTGCAGCTCTAGGGTGTCAGCCGAAGACCTGTACTATTGCCTTGACCAGGGAATTTAAAAAGATGAAGCCACCAGTGTTTCATTGCGGAATTGAACCGTTGAAGGCCGAGGCTTGGGTCTTAGGAATTGAAAAGTTGTTTGAAGTATTCCCATGTACCGAAGCTCAGAAAATACAACTAGCAACATTCGCCCTAAAAGATGATGCCAGACGTTGGTGGACATTAGTGCGAGATGATAATAAGGATGTTACTTGGGTTCGTTTTCTGGAAATCTTCTACGAAAAATATTTTCCCCAATGTGTGTGGGATAGAAAGGCAGCGGAACTCATGGAACTCAAGCAAGGAAATAAATCAATGGCTGAATATGAGGCTCAGTTTACAGAATTAGCTCGCTTTGCACCCCACATGGTGGACACAGATTACAAGAAAGCTAGACAGGTTGAAGGAGGCTTGCGTGACCCAATTCTAGATAAAATCAATGTACTCAAATTGCCGATATATGTGGATATACTTGATAGGGCACTAATAGCAGAGAGAAATGTGGCCAACCGTAAACAAAATTTCGAATGGAAAGGCAAAAAATAGAATTTTAATAAGGGAACTACGTCAATGAACAAGAAGTTCAAGTCGGGGAGTTCTGGTAATACTGGTTCAAGCCAAAGTGGTAATTCAATGCCAACTTGTACTACATGTGGAAAGAAACATGGAGGTGTTTGCTATCGTGTGACAGGGGCTTGTTATCATTGTGGGAAGTTTTGGCACATTGCCAAAGATTGTACACAACTACGTCATGGTGGCAACCGAGGTGCCACAAGCTCGATTGGGTCGGCTCCCACAACAAAACCAGTTACAGCATCACTTACCACAAGAAATGATCAAAGGCAAGGAAGGGTTTTTGCATTGATTCCGGGGGATACTCAAAATACTGAGGTCGTGGTGTCAGGTACAATCTCCATTTGTGGTAAACCTGTTTATGTTTTAATTGATTCCAGGTTTACACACTTATTTATTTCTATGGTCTTTGCTGAAACTTTGAATAGACCTATGGAAACATTGAATTATATATTATGTGTTGCATCACCTATGGGGGAATCCATGCTATGTTCAACTGTATTTACTGCATGTGAATTATTTCTCGAGAATGCCACTTTGTATGCTGATTTAATACCTTTAGACATGGGACATTTTGATGTTGTTTTGGGTATGGATTGGCTAGCTAAATACTATGCAACTATTGATTGTGCCTTGAAACGAGTAATATTCCGACCTCCCGGGCAAGATGAATTTTATTTTGAGGGAAAATGGGTAGTTTCACCACCATACCTCATATCTGCCATGAAAGCCCGAAAACTAATAAATAAGGGTTGTCAAGGATATTTGTGTAGTGTAATAATCGAACCAACGGTAGACATTACTCTAGACAATATACCAGTGGTGAGAGATTTTCCTGATGTGTTTCCGGATGAATTACCTGGCCAACTTGTTGATAGAGAGATTGAATTCACAATTGATGTAATACCTGGAACTTGACCAATTTCTAAAACACCCTACCGTATGTCTACCACCAAAATGAAAGAATTGAAAATTCAGTTGTAGGAATTGCTTGATAAAGGGTTTATCAGACCGAGTACATCCCTATGGGGCACACCATTACTTTTTGTTAAAAAGAAAGATGGCACTTTCCGACTATGCATTGGTTACCGGGAGCTCAACATGGTAACAGTGAAAAATAAATACCCTTTGTCGCGTATTGATAACCTGTTTGACCAGTTGTAGGGGGCACAGATATTTTCAAAAATTGACTTGAGATCGGGATATCATCAACTGAAGGTTAAGGCTGAGAACGTTGAAAAGACTGCCTTCTGAACCAGGTATGGACATTATGAGTTTTTAGTCATGCCTTTTGGAGGTACAAATGCACCTGCAGCATTTATGGATTTAATGAATAGAATTTTCAAACCTTTCCTAGATGACTTTGTTGTTGTATTCATTGATGACATCTTGATTTATTCGAAAAGTAAAGATGAGCATGAACGACATTTGAAACTGACTCTCCAAACACTTAAAGAAAAACAGTTGTATGGAAAATTTAAAAAGTGCGAATTTTGGCTTGATGAAATTGCATTTTTGGGGCACATTATTAATAAGGATGGTATATCTGTGGATCCTCATAAAATTGAAGCTATTATTAATTGGCCTACCCCAACTAATGTATCAGAAGTTCGTAGTTTTATGGGATTGGTAGGGTATTACCGAAGATTCGTTAGAGACTTTTCAAAGATTGCTGTGTCATTGACTCAGTTGAATCAGAAAGGGGAACCATTTTAGTGGACGGATCAGAGGGAAACAACTTTTCAAGAATTGAAGATGAGACTGACTACAGCTCCCATTCTTACTATTCCTTCAGGTACCAAAGGTTTTATGACCTTTAGTGATGCATCTTATAAGGGCTTGGGTTGTGTTTTAATGCAGAATGACAAGGTGATTGCATATGTTCCACGACAATTGAGGCCACATGAAAAGAATTACCCTACACATGACTTAGAACTTGCTGCAGTTGTGTTTGCATTAAAGATATGGTGTCACTATTTGTATGAGACCAAATGTGAAGTGTACACAAATCATAAGAGCTTGAAATACTTCTTCACCCAGAAAGAGTTGAACATGCGTCAAAGACGATGGCTTGAACTAATCAAAGACCATGACTTGCAAATTCACTATCATTCGGGTAAAGCCAATACTGTAGCAGATGCATTTAGTAGAAAGAGTATGGGGAATCTTGCATTTTTACTCACAGATCAGAGAGAACTGTTATTGAAATTTGAAAAACTCAAAATTGAAGTGGTGTCTTTCAAACAAGATAGGTTGATAGACACAATCTCTACCCAGCCTGCCATTATCGAGGAAATTAAGTAGAAACAAACAAATGATGATTTTTTGAAGAAGATTTGCAATGAACTTGACACCAAGCCTAAACCAGGGTTCATAATTGAAGACTCCGTGTTGAAATATCAAGGGAGATTGTGTGTTCCGAATGATGTGGATTTTAAAAGGAAAATTTTGAAGGAAGCTCACAAGTCGATGTTTGCTATGCATCTAGAAAACACCAAATGTACCAAGACTTGAAGTTAGTGTATTGGTGGCCCAACATGAAAAGGGAGATTGCCAACTTCAACTCTAAATGCTTATAATGCCAGCAGGTAAAAGCGGAGCATCAGAAGCTAGTAGGTTTGCTTCAGTCTCTTCCTATTCCGGAATGGAAATGAGAATATATCACCATGGACTTTGTTGTTGGCCTACCTCGGACACCTAAAGGTATGTACTCTATTTGGGTTATAGTTGATAGATTGACTAAATCTACTCACTTTCTCGCTGTAAAGACTTCATTTACTGCTTATAGTCTTGCTACTATCTACATTGATGAGATTATTCGACTACATGGGGTTCCAATGTCTATTGTATCAGATAAGGATCCCAAATTTGTTTCCAGATTTTGGCATAGTCTGTAGGATGCAATAGGAACATAATTGAGATTTAACACAACATTTCATCCCCAAACCGATGGGCAAACCGAAAGGACTATTCAAACCCTAGAAGACATGCTTCGTATGTGTGTGTTGGATTTTCAGGGTAGTTGGGAAACTTATTTGCCATTGGTCGAATTTGCTTATAATAATAGTTCTCACGCGAGTATCGATATGGCACCATATGAGGCACTATATGGTAGAAAGTGTAGATCGCCAGTTTGTTGGACAGAGGTTAGTGATAGAGCTATTTATGGGATCAAACTTGTGCAAAAAACGACTGAGAAGATCAAAATTGTTCAGCAAATGCTTAAAACTGCACAGAGCCGACATAAAAGTTACGCGAATCAGCGAAAAAGGGACTTAGAGTACGAAGTAGGAGATCATGTATTCATCAAAGTGACCCCAATGAAGGGGCATATAAGATTTAGGAAAAAGGGAAAACTGACTCCTCGCTACATTGGACCGTTTCAGATCCTTGAGAGGTTGGGTCCTGTTGCTTATCGTTTTGCCTTGCTACCGGGAATGGAACAAGTGCATAATGTTTTCCATGTATCCATGCTTCGGGGGTATCTTAGAGATCCGTTCCATGTGATTGCTCACCACCGGATTGCTCTAGATGAGGATATGATGTATGGAGAATGGCCCGTGCAAATCATTGATCGGCAAGTGAAGCAATTGAAAAACAAAACTATCCCTATGCTGAAGGTCGAGTGGAGAGAACATTATGGGAAGGAGGCCACTTGGGAGAAAGAGGAAGAGATGCGGCAACGATACCCGCATTTATTTCCATCTGAAAGTAACTTAAGTTTAGAGGACCAAACTTTCTAAAGGGGAGAGACTATGACGACCCCGACCTCCGGACTAGTATATTATATTATTTTAATAAGTTTAATTGCATGATTGCGTGTTTAATTGTGTGATTATACGTTTAATTTGTGATTATCTGTTGTTACATAGATTATCTGTTCAAACTGACAACTTAGAGTCAGAAATTGAAAGCTTAGACAGCCTCATAAACTGAAATTGACCAGCCCAATAGGTTAATTAGAATATTTAGAATTTTATGGTAACTTTAATTAAAAATTTATTTGGATCAAAATAATTAGAATAAACTGATTGAATTAATTAGGATTAAACCTAGTTGATTAACCTTAATCATATGTGATTAGGCTAACTTAATCACACCATATAAATAGTTTTAAATAGCTTATGAGCTCATTTTATACACACATATAGCTGAGAATTGAGAGAGATGAGAGAAGAGTTCAACATTTAGAGAGAGAAAGAGGAGATTTGTAGAGGATTGGTAGAAGATTCAAAGATTGGAGCCATAATACACTTGAATTCACACATTAGGTATGTAATTCATTATAAATTCTTGGAATCAAGTCATGTAGAAGTTGTATTCACCAAGGTTTTGAGTTCATTTGCATGGAATTATTAAATAGAAGCTTCAATCACCTTGAATTTGGAAGTTAAGAGTTAAACATGTACATGCATACATAAATGGAGTTAAACTTCATGAAATTCATTCATGCATGGCACAATTATACCTCAATTTGGAGAATCCTTCATGTTTTCATGTTTCTCATGTCACTTAATTATGTTTTGAATATGCTTTGAAGAAATATATGCTCAAATTGAATTAAACTTATTTTATACCTTGAAATTGAAGTTTTTGGTTAAGAATTTGCCATGGTTTCGAATAAATGGTTTCAAATTGGAAGTATTTTCATGTTATACAATGATTCTCCATGTTTTTGTACCAAAAACACAAGATTTGAAGCTTTGAATACCATGTTTGAACTTCAAACACAGTTCTGGAAATTCCAGAATTCGTGCTATCCACTCTAGCGAGAGAAGCCTCGCTCTAGCGTGAAAATCGAGCTCCCAGAAGTTTTTTGAAATTTTACAGGTCGCCCGAGCGACCAAAGTGGCGCTCGAGCGAGGACCTTTTTTCTTAATTTTCAGCTAGAGCGACCATCGAGCGGGAATTTCATGTAACCAGTACTTTTACAGACCGCTCGAGTGATAAAAATTACGCTCGAGCGACCAACT